TTTGAGACAGGAACTCTCTGTAGCCCCAGATGGCCTGGTACTCACTATGTAGACCAGGCTGGCCTTGATCTCACAGAGATCCATCTGCCTCTGCCTACTCAGTGCTGGGACGAAAGGCATGCACCACCACACTGGGCTCAGTCTAGGATTTTTTTGTTTTTTTGTTTGTTTGTTTGTTTTAAATTGAAACAGGGTCTTCCTGTAGCTCCAGCTGGCCTGCAACTCACTATGTAGACCAGGCTGGCCTTGAACTCACGGAGATCTGCCTGTCTCTGCCTCCCAAGAGCTGTGGTGACATGTTCCACCACACCTGGCTTCAGTCTAGGTTTTAACATGAAGTTTTTGCTTTCTTTTTCTTTTTTTTAAATCTATTATTTTTATTTTATGTGTATGAGTGTTATGCCTGCATGTCAGTAAGTGCCCCCATGTGTGCAATGCCAGCAGAGGACAGAGGAGGCTGTTGGATCCCCTGGAACTGCAGTTACAGACAGTTGTTAGCTGCCATGTGGGTGCTGGGATTCGAACGCTGGTCTTCTGCAAGAACAGTCAGCGTTCTTAACCGCTGAGCCATCTCTCCAACCCCTTGCTTTCTTCTTAAGTGTTCTACTCTTTCATCCCAGAGAAGTTAAGTACCCGTGTTTCCGCCAGCTCTGCAGATCCTCCTGGGCTCTCCTGCACGCCTGCCTGCCTTCCCTGTCACCATGTTTATCATCTGTTACCCTTGTGTTCGTCACAGCTTTTCACCTTCTCTTTCTCTGCTGGCTCCTCCCAAGGATGGACTCAAGTTTATCCCAACTTACAAACACAAAATGAAGAAACTTTACCTGCTTCAGTCACTGGCCTGCCCTGCTCTTGCTTTCATAGCCAGGCTTTTTGAAAGAACAGTCTGTGTTGGTATTCCACACCCTGATCTCCTCAGCCTCTTGCAATTAAACTCCCTCATCTTTTGTATTACATCACTAAATGATAAGTCTAGAGGGAGATTTCTACTTTTCATACTTTTTAAAACTTTCTTTAACTGAAGAATACATCTTTCTTCAAGCTTTTACTCTTTGGTTCCACAACATCATGCTCTCCTGGGTCTTCTGCCCTTGGCCACCCTATGCCGGATCCTCATTCTTCTTCCTTTCTTAAATATTTGTGCTGCCCAGGATTCCATCTTGGCTCTCTTCTTTTAAGCATCAGCATGACAAAGCATGCCTGTAATCCCAGCACTAGAGAGGCTGAGGGCAGGAAGACTGAGAATTCCAGGCTAGCCTGTGCTACATAGTGAGAGCCACTCTCAAAAACAAAACAAAACACTTCCCAGGCAAGTTCATCCATTCCCATGCCTTGTCCTTCTCAAGCGTCTCCCTGGTCTCCAAACTCAAAAGCACCAACTATTGTGTGAATATTTTTACTTGGATGTTCCTTTGATGTCTCAAATTTAACAGGCTCCAAGTAGAATTCTCTGTTATTCTGTTTTTTTTTTTTTATTCTATTTTCTTTTCTTTTGGCAGCATCATCATTTATTAACCAAATAAGCCAGAGCCAGGACTATATTTCTTCCTGAGTGTTTCTTGAAATTAACCATGCAGTTTCCTCCTCTACTGCCTCTGCTCTAAGTCAGTCGCTTTCTTTCTTGCCTGGTGCCAGAAGAATTTTTCTAATAAACAAATATAGTAATTTCACTTCTCTGCTTTAGGTATAATCTAATTTTCTTACTATCAGATATAAAAAATGCTTTATGAGTTGTTGCCCTACCCCCACCCGTGGCCCATCTTCCACTCTCCGTGAATCTGACATGATTTTTCAAGCCTCCTGCCTTTGTGTAAGCTACTTCCTGTACCTGGGTGCCTTGCCCCTGGCAAATGCCTTTTTTCACTTCAAGTCTCAGCTCGTTTTACCTTCTGTGTGACATTTCCTCTGATGCCATTTGGCCAATGGTGATGTTTCCCACTCAACATTCTAATTGCATTTTGAGCATATCTCTACAATCACAATAACTGTACTCTAATTACTTGAACATTTGTCTTCCCATTAGACAGAATCTCCTCAAGGGCAGGGATTTAATCTTTTCATCTTTGCATGGAGCATAACTAATCAAGCTCTTGATCAAATTAATGAATAAGGAGTCACCTGTGGAAAGGTCTCCTTCTGATTCTTCACACAAGAGGGAGCTATGCGCCCTCATTGCCCATTCTGTACTCTTGCCGCGAACTGAGTATCAACAACACAAGGCTAAAGACTGCATAAGAAGGGATCTGACTAACCCTTTCTGTTAACCCTCTCAAAAAATTGTCCAGAAAGTCTTTTGCAATAGCTGGGGTCTCCAAGACTAACAAACACCTAAACATGAATGTTTGTATTTAACTGAATATGAAACATATATCTCAACCCTCACTGAAGATGTGTAACTAAAATTTTGTTAAATTATTTTGTAAAATATGTGATGGTCATATTTGTTTTTTTTTTTAAATTTATTATTATTATTGTTATTATTGTGTGTGTGTGTGTGTGTGCGTGTGTGTGTGTGTGCACGTGTGATCTGTGTGGGGGCACAATTGCCATGACGTGCATATGGAGGTCAGAGGACAGCTTTTTTTTTTTTTTTTTTTGTCTTTTTGAGACCCTTGTCTCCCTGTAGCCACAGCTGGCCTGGAACTCACTATGTAGACCAGGCTGGCCTTGAGATCCACCTGTCTCTGCCTCTTGAATGCTGGGATTAAAGGTATGTACCACCCTGCCCAGCCAGATGTCAGCTTTATGGAGTAGGTTCTTTCCTTCCATTTTTACATGGATTTTGGGCAGTCATCAGGGCGCTCCACTCATCAGGCTTAGGCAGCAAGTGCCTTTACCTGCTGAGCCATTGCACTGGCCTGGTGGTATTTATTTTAAAGCGTGTTTTTTTGATAAAGAATTTTTATTTATGACACCTAGATTGAACCATTATATTCTAAAGAAAGGCTGTATAGGGAGAAGGGCTATAAAACATAGAACATCTTAGTTAATGAAGTATGAAGAAAAAGCATTTTTGTTAATAGAAAGAACTCGGGTTGGGGCCAGTGAGATGGACCAGTAGGCAAAAGTGGTACTGCTAAGCCTGATGACCTAAGTTTTATCCCTGGAGCCCGCCCACATGGTAAAAGGAGAGAATCTAGTTCTGCAATTTATCCTCTGACCTTCATATTCATTCCATGGCACACATAAAATAAAGAAATGTGGGGGGAAAAAGAAAAGAAAAAAAAGAAAGAACCTTGCTGTATGTTCAATTTCAATAAGCAATGCAAACAAACGGCAAATAATGTAACATCTCAGTCTGGATCTTATGTTAGTATCATTTCTGCATTTGTTTTAATGAGGGATTGTAAAAAATTTATATGAATTGCTCATCTCTATTAACACGATGCTTCAAAGAAACACTAACAAAAAATGTCTTTCTTGTCTTTTAAGTACAGAAGGCCATTGTTAACTCACTTCCAAAATATTTATTAAAGATGACTAAAGCAAAACGATAGTTGGTGAAGGAAGCTTGCCTTGCTTAGTCTCTTCTGTTGAGTTCAGTTTCACGGCTTAGCTATTCCTTACTCTATATTGCTTGGCTTAAAGTTACATTTTCATTACTCTGATCCTAATTTGGTCTTCATTATTAAGCTAACAGGGCTTTTACATAAAGAGGGGAAACTGAAATAAAAAGGCTACAGAGATCCTACTTTTCCTACAAAGGTTATGTTTCCCTTGGGACCATCTTCCTCCCTAGCTTGACAAGTGGGGTCTGGCTACAGAACTGGTTCTAATTAGACAAAATCTCATGTCAGTATTAACTTGACTCCTTGTCTTTTAGTTCACTATCATGACTGGCATATGCATGCAATCTATACTGATGCAAATAAACAGACACAAGACAGTCAAACATATACCTACAAGCTTATATAAACAGAGACACAGACTCAAGAAGGGAGCACCCAGACTGTCATGCTCAGTAGCCCAGACACCCACATTCCACAAGAGGCCCCTGTGATAACTGGGTTGCTCTCTCAATGAGAAAGGCCAGTTCTTTTACTTTGGAGTTCTACTTCTTCACTTGGCCTGGGGGGCTACCTGTAAGTACTAAAGGCTTTCCTTGTGTTCTGTTGTATGTCAGATCCAGTTACCTAGTCCTTACCTATAACAAGAAGTCGTGTTTCAGTGTTCAAGTGAGGGTTACATAGAGATACAGTGAACAGTTTTGAAGAAAACTCAGTCTACTACAAGCTCCACTTTTCATCACTCAAAGTCATCTGCTTGGTTAGTGATCTGGAGCCTGTCTTATAGTTTGGCAAGATTTTCTTCAAGTCTTCCTCTGCCCACCTCCCCCAACTACAAGAATCCATTGACGGAGAACTACTATAAATTCCCTATAGAACTACTATAAATTCCCTATAAAGGAGGTATAGGAGGCATGTCTAAAATTGTCAAGCACCCCATTGGTGATGCATAGCTGCTGGAATTTGATAGTTTATTTCTCTGATTGAAGTAGATCCCATTAAAAGTTTATGGCTCTGGCTAGCTAAATGGAGTCTCTTTCAGGAACTCCTAACCTAGTCTTCCTTCTAAGGAAGATAAGGTTGTGTGTGGGTGTGTGCTCTTGCTCGCACCACTAAAGAAAAAATTAAGTGAAAAAGTAGATCTGCAAAGTAGGTTGGGGCAGAATTCTCCAGGGATAATGTAGTAAGGGGCTTAGGAATGTGGAATTATGCAATCCAACTGTATCCAGATTCTAGTTAAGAAAGTATAGGGATTTGATGTTGACAAATCTTATGACTTTTATAGCCTTAAAATGTTTTCCTTGCCATGATTTCTAAACACTTTCTCCTTCAGGAACTTGATCTAAATTGGTCTGGTAGATTCAATGTGCGCCCCTAGTGGTCCGTGCGAGCGCAGCACCCCAAGGCCTGAACCCACCCCAAAAGGCGCAGACTCCAGCAGCCGCACCCTCACCTCCCGCCTGCCCGCATCCCACCCTGACCCTCTTTCCCTACCTTCTCTTCTCCCAGTACTGTGTGCGTGGCACTCGGCACCGCTAGCTTCTTCCTTTGGAAACTGACACACAACGCTCCTGGGAGTGGGGATAGGGCGGGAACCGGGTCCAGACGTTCTGTCACCAAAATCCTGCAGTCTCTGCCACCCCGGGTCCCTTCCAACCCCCATTCTTCTAACTCAATTGTGGATCAGGCTGTGACCAGACAAACCTTGTCTTCGATCTTTCCCACCTCCTTCGGGTCATTCCCAACCTTCTCAGACCTGGAACCCCTGGCCTCGGACAGGGTGCTCCGGTGTCCCCGCCCTAGGCGGCCATCCCTTCGACCCCTCCTGCCCTACTCCCAGAGACGCCAGCACCCCGGGCAGCTCCAGCGCAAACCCAGCCACGCAATTCTGCGACCAGCAAGGGGTGAGACCTGAGAGATTCCACCAGGAACTCTGGTGACCCAAGACTTACAGGCTTTGAGGACTGACAGACCTTCCTTGGACTCCAGGCCTGATCCTTGGACGGATTCTGGCTGGATGAGTGTCTTGGCTTTAGAGCCCTGACTCGATCCGATCATGCGGCGAAGATTTGGGGACAGCTCGCCTGCTCCGCACCCTCTCGGTCCCCCCACCCCACCCCACCGCCCACTCTCTTCAGCCCCATCCAACTTGGCGAGGCAGACTTGCCCTTCTCGCCTCGCACATGGCCACGCAGAGCCCTCACTACCCAGGGGACATCCACCACCTGAGCCCTGCATCCCACGCGGTCTCACCTTGCGCACTCCTGCAGCTACCAAGCGCCTCGGTCGCCGGGCGCCTGCCTCTATCCCGCCCCACTGTGCCCCGCCCCAGCGCCGGGACGCGCGGTCCGCTCTTCACCCTCGAGCCCCGCCCGACCCTGCTCAGAGCTGGAGAGGCAGCCAGACTGGAGCAGGCTAAGAGAGCCCCGGGAGGCCGGAGCAATCCGCAATTCCAGGCTGGGGAGACCAAGACGCCAAGGTCAGATTCCGGGAGGACTTCTCCTGGCCCGAAGGTGTGGGTGCTCCGAGGGAGGCAGCTCTAGGGACAGAGCAGCGGGGAGGGAGCCCAGATCGGCCTTCTTTTCGGAGGGAAAGCGAATTGTAGCCCCTTGTACCTTCTATCTTATCCTAAGGCTAAAAGAAGCTTTGTTAAGGCCTGCCCTCTGCACCACCAAGATTTGGGAGACCAGGATCTTCGAGACCTGGAACTGCTGAGTGACCTACTTTGGGCCTAGAGGATTTCCTGGTGCCAGCACATCATGCTAAGGAGGGAATTTGGGGTCTTTGGTATCCAGACTTTACCACTTCCTCTTGGCCTTTCTTTGGGACCAGGCTGGAATCGCTGTGGCCTTAACACATCTTCCTCCACTATTCTAAGACCTTGGACTAGAAAAATGGTCATGTGGAACAAGAATCAGGCAGGCCTGTACTCTTCCTGATTCTGCCACTGCCTGGGGCTTCACTGCCCTGTCCTGGGGTTGTGCCTTCATGTCCAGGTTGTTGGGAAGTTCCCACACCTATGTGTCTGTGTAAATTGTATAAATACCACAAGGAGAGGCATTAAGCATAGCCACTCTCCTCCCCAGGTTGTCCCCACAGGCAGGCCTGAAAGCCTCCAGCATGCCCTTAGGAGTGGAGTGGTACATTTACACTTGGTGTCCAGGTTCCTAAGGACTTAAGTGGAAGGAGAGGAGGTCAGACAATTCGGATTAGGGAAGGATCACTATGGCCACTTCACTATGTCCAACTCTACAGTTTCAACTATCCAGAGTCTGTCTCGTCACACATTATCAAAGGTCACATCTAGAAGACTCTCTAGGATAGATAAAATACTGAATTTGGGGTTTGGCAGTGTCTAGGATTTTTTCACTTGTTTAGTGGGAGATGGAATGGGGATGACACCACTTCCTGGGTTCTCTCCTTTGACCAACTAAAATGTTCAGGAGCCCCAAAGTTTGGCTGAAGATGAAGCTTTCCCTGAACACCTACTTTTTCCCACCCCATTCTCAAAATTCAGGTTGCCTTTAGGACATCTTCAGTGATCTTTTGCTACTCAGGAGTCCTGGCCTGAATTTCCTGCTGCCTCTGTTATCCCACAAGGAGAGCAGGAAGCCAGAACTTAACCAAGAGCAGCTGGCATTGCACCCCTCTTGAATCTACCCCAAAGATTCATGCTCCAGCCTACTCTCTATCGCAGCTGCATTAAACCTGTTAATTTTCTTGCTTTGAATTCAGCATCATTCTCACATCAGATTCTGACAATCATGCTGGGAAGTAAACAGTTTAAGTATATTTACTACTATGGTGAGAAGAGGAAAGCAAGTGTTCAATCAGAGTAGTGGCTTGCCTAAGATCCCACAGTGGACTAACAGCAGAACAGAGACCTCAGCGTAGTCTCTTAATGAGGGCAAGGTTGGCTTTGCTTTGTTCATAACTTATTCTCTAGGGCCTGGGTCAGTTCTGTATACAGCATGTGCTCATCTATTAGTTGTTGAATGAATGAAAGACTTCGGGGAGTAAGTGCTTTTTGCTACCCATCTTGGGTCCAATTCCTCAGCCTTAATTCTTAGGGGTCTGCAGAGGTCTTAGCCTGACTCTCTTAAACTTCTGAAGCTTATTCTTTTACTCTCCGTTTTTCTAGGGTCTCTCTCCACTGTGGAGTATTCTGACACCTGAGCCTCTATTACCATTTTCATAATGGGCTTCCATCTGGCTCTAGTTTGGATCCTGCTGATTGGGCCACTGACCCCTGTGGGTAAGTACAGATTGGAGAAGCATGGTTGGGAGTGGAAGAACAGCATCCTCAAAGATGTGCCATAATCATGTATGTATCCTTAATCCCTAGCTGATACAACAACCTGTGCATGCTGGGTGCTCACTTCTAGCTGTTGAATAACTGGATAGATAATAGAATGAAAATTATCTCTTCTAGTATAGGAGTCTTTTCTCTCTCCTCCATCATCTATTCTGTTTCATAAAGTAAGTGCTCTTGACTTGAAACAGGAAAGGCTGTTTAGACACAGGAGACAGATTGCACCCAAAGCTGAACAGGAGTCTCCAGTGTTTTAAAATAATATGGTCTTAGGCAGGGGTTATATCTCAGTGGCAGAGTATGGCTAGTATGCATGAGGCCCTGGGTTTCAGCCTCCATATGGAGAAAAGGAGTACAGAGTAAAATAATATCAAAACTCAAAACAAAATGATTCACAAGAATTTCAAGTTTGGAAGACTCTTACTAGAAGATGAGGCTGTTCCCTATACTCTGGGCCTCTAAGGAAGGAAGTGAATGTAAGATGCTACAAATTAGGCTAAAAAGAGCAAGTCTTTAGCCAGATGTGGTGGCACATGCTTGTAATCCTAGCACTTGAGAGGTGGAGCAAGAGGATCAAGAGTTTAAAGTCATCCTCCTCTACATAATGAGTTCAAGGTCAGCCTAGGCTACTTGAGATCCTGTCTACAAACAAACAAACAAACAAACAAACAAGAGCAAGTCTCTGATCATTAGAAATGATAGATACAAAAACAAGAGACAGAAAACCTGTGGGACTGATGCTTCCTGGCTGGTAGTGACAAGATTATGACAGGGAACCTGAAGTTCTTCCTTGCCAAGCTGTTTGCATTTAGTTCCTTCTCCTTTCCTTGGCCTTGGGGTTTCATTTTCTCCCCAGCTCTTGCCCTGTCTTTACATATTCTCCTCCAAAAGCTCCTTCCTTGATCTGTCCTGAGTTCATCTTATTTTAGATACCTTGTATGTGCGGCTGTTGTAATCCTTGTCCCAAGTCCTAGATCCTTAGTAAGATTCTTTGCTCAAATATCAGGGTCTTAGTCATTTTCCATCCTTGACCCTCTGGTGTGTGTGTGAGTGCACATGTGTGTGTGTGTGTGTGTGTGTGTGTGTGTGCGCACACGCGCTCATGTGTAGGCAAGAGAGTAATTGGAAATCCTGACTTTGGTGTAAGGATGGTTGGAGGAATGGGGACCCCTCTTGCTGTCTGTTTCGCTGCTCTCTCAGGTGAACAGAGAGGAAGACTTCCAGTTTGAAGGGGAAAAAAATCTGGTGGTCTCTGATCTACTGACTAAGAAGATTCTGGACCCTCTCTCTCTCTGTCCCACTTCCTTAGCTCTTCCCCCCAATAGCTAAGTGTTCCCTCCTGTACTGTAGTTATTTTTTGTTTTTTTGTTTTTTGTTTTTTGGTCTTTTTGAGACAGGGTCTCCCTGTAGCCCCAGCTGTCCTGGAACTCGCTATGTAGACCAGGCTGGCCTCGAACTCACAAAGATCCGCCTGCCTCTGCCTCCCAAGTGCTGGGATTAAAGGCGTGCGCCACCACACCCGGCATTGTACTGTAGATTTTTTACAATAGCAACAAGAGCAGGAATTATGGACTGGAGAGATGACTTACCAGTTAAGAGCACTGGCTGCTTTTCCAGAGGACCTGGGTTCAGTTTCCAGCACCCACATGGTGGCTAACAACTATTTGTAACTCCAGTTCCAGGGGATCTGATGTCCATTCCTGGCCTCTGAGGACATTGCATGCACGTGGTGTACTTAAATACATGCAGACAAAATACTCATACACATTAAATAAATAATAGATAAATAAATAACAGGACTTAAATGAAAGACAAGATGTCTCAACCCCCATGACCAGTCCTTGGTCTCACCCAAGAAACTGGGAAAAGACCAGAATGGCAGTAACACACCCCTGCCCTGTGGCTCTGCTCAGCTAGAGAGAGCCAAGCCCCTCTCCACACTGTTCCTGCCCAGTGATGGGTCACAGAATGACTTGTCCTTCCCAGGTATGGGGTGTGGCTGGCTGTTGCCTCATATGGTTTCTGAGGGCTAGGGGTGATTTTTTGTCCTGCTGTGTCTCCCAGGGATTTGGAGTGTGGGGAGAATCTAGGCTCTTGCATCCTCTCCCTGGTTGCCATCGATTTCCTCCCTTTCCTCTGAGGCCTTTTGTCCATAGGTACTGCAAGCCACTGCACTACTTTAGTGGTAATGTCTTCCCCACTGGGTAGCTTAAAGAGTGCTTGAGTTTGGACAATACTTTGCCCTGGTTTCTTCCCCTGGGCCTCTCCCTCTGGATTTATTCCTCCTCTATCTTCTACTGTTCCCAGTGCCAGGATCACACACAGGACCTGTTCCCTCATGACCTGCTTGGTCTATCCTGCATTGATTTGCTAAGCTGTCTTTTCCCTCTATATTCACACAGGAACTCAGAATCCTATTTCTTGGGAAGTACAGAGATTTGATGGATGGTACAACAACCTCATGGAGCACAGATGGGGTAGCAAAGGTAGGTGAGGGTGAGGTTATTCCAAGGGCCAGGGTGGAACCCACCAGTGGGGACTGAGGGTTGACAAGTATTATAAAAGGCCATCAAGCATCACCAAAGGCTGTCAATTTCTAAAGCTTTAGGATTCAAGGTATGGAGAAAGCCTGGGGATGAGGAGATCAAGAATGTTCCCTGGGGTTGGAGAGATGGCTCAGCAGTTAAGAGCACTTACTGCACTTGCAGATGACATCAGTTTAGTTCTCAGTACCTGTGATGGGTGGCTCACCTATAACTCTAGCTCCAAGGGGATGACACTTTTAGCCTCCAAAGGCACCTGCATATACCCACAGTATCTCCACCCCACCCACACACAATTAAAAATCATTTTAAAATCTTTAAATAATTTTTTAAAAAGATTGTTCCTTGAGGATTCATCCCTGTCCTCACCTCTCCTATGCCAGGCTCTCGGCTGCAGCGCCTTGTTCCAGCCAGCTATGCAGATGGTGTGTACCAGCCCTTGGGAGAACCCCACTTGCCTAACCCCCGAGACCTTAGCAACACAGCCATGAGAGGCCCTGCAGGGCTAGCCTCTCTGAGAAACCGCACAGTTCTGGGTGTCTTCTTTGGTGAGGATTTCAGCCTCTGGGGCAGGGCAGCCAGTGGGGTCAGCTGGATACTTCTGTGCCTAAAGAGGGAATCAGGGGATGAAAAAGAAATGGTAGCCCAGAGATAGTGCTGAGAGATAAAGGAGGAAGTCATGGTGTAGGGTAGAAGCAGATGGAAGGGAGGGAGGACACACACTAAGGTAAAGTCTGATCGACAGGGACATCAGTTTCCCCTATGCTGAAAGAAGAGGTGTGGAGGAAGGGAAAAAGGCATCTGTCCCTTTGGGGTTAGGGCTGCTAGAGACTATGATTAGACTCTCACTTGGACCCTGTTTGTCTGGTGGCTCCTAGAACAGACTGAGGAAAGGGTTCTGATGGCAGCAAAGAGGGCTGAAGGGAGGTCAGATAGGAGTCCTGGGGTGGTCTAAGTTCAGTGACAGAGAGTTAGTGGTTAGTCCACAACAGCGCTGGCTCTGGTTGGCCATGTTGGGTGCCCATGCTGGCTTCTATGTGATTTCCTGCTTGGCTGCAAGCCTCCAGGGAGGCTCCCAACTGCATGTTGGAGCTGGTGCTGACAACTCCACTTACTGAGGCATCATCACTGAGCACCTCCCAGTTACCAAGGAGAATGCCAAACTGACAATGACAACATCATAGAGCAGGTGTAGGCACAGGCAGACCAGAAGAGAAAATTGGGAGGGAATGCAGGAGATCAGAGCTTAGACTTGCCCATAATAGGAGATGACTTAGGAAGCTTCAAGGAAGATGGGTGGGGGACTCCATGCCTGAGGCAGGGAAGAGAGTGGCGCTCAGCTGGCTCAGAACCCCCTCCTGCATTGTGGGCAGGTTACCACGTGCTCTCAGACCTGGTGAGTGTGGAAACACCAGGCTGCCCAGCTGAGTTCCTCAACATTTACATTCCTCTTGGGGACCCGGTGTTTGACCCTGACAAGCGGGGGAACGTGGTACTGCCCTTCCAGAGGAGCCGCTGGGACCCCGACACTGGAAAGAGCCCCAGCAACCCCCGGGACCTGGTAAGGCCAGGCAGGCAGCCAGGCGGGAGGGGATCTGCAGTTGAATCCCTGGAGCCCTGGGGTCCTCCAGCTGGGAAGGCTGGGCAGGGTGAGGCTCATTCCCACCCGAAGACACCTGTCTCGCCCTGGACACCTGTCTGTCCCTGGCCCCCCTGGCCTGCCCGGGATCTCTGACCCCATCACCCGCACGTGTCCCCGCAGACCAACCAGGTGACAGGCTGGCTGGATGGCAGCGCCATCTATGGCTCCTCGCACTCCTGGAGCGACGCGCTGCGGAGCTTCTCTGGAGGACAGCTGGCATCCGGGCCGGATCCCGCCTTCCCGCGGGACTCACAGGACCCTCTGCTCATGTGGACCGCTCCTGACCCGGTCACCGGGCAGGGCGGGGCGCAGGGACTGTATGGTGAGGCCGCCGGGGCGGGCAAGGGGGCAAGTGGACGCACCAGGCTGGTTGGAGGGCGGGATGGGGGTCTAGAGTCTGGACTCGCCTTGCTCTGGCCGCTCATCTCCTGCCCTGCGTCCCCGCGTGGGTGCAGCCTTCGGGGCCCAGCGAGGGAACAGGGAGCCCTTCCTGCAGG